GTTACAGTTAATTGAATGTAATGATTTTTGTTAATTATAGTCATAAAAACACTCTTCTGTTAAATTTTCCAAGTTTATATTCTTTTGTAAATATTCAAATATCATTACTGGAATTTAATAATTCTAATGTTGTTACAGTTAATTTAATGTAATGATTTTTGTTAATTATAGTCAGATAATATCTTTTCTGTTAAATTTTCCAAGTTCATATTTTTTAGTAAATGATTTAAAGTAGATTATTGAAGATTCTTGTTGATGATATTATTAGTAATCAAGTTGTTTTGTCTTATTTTTAGATTATATAATGCCGATTTGTTTGCCCAATGATAAAGTGCAGCAGTTCTTGATACAGCCTAGGATGGTGCTGGAGGTTGCCGGCTGGGGGAAGACCAAGAACAGTAATATTTGTCTTGAAGTTGACAAAAGTTTATAAATAGATTAATTTATACTTTTAGTGTCTGCTAGTAATATCAAGATGAAGGCTAGGGTGCCTATAGTGGACAGAGAAACGTGCGCTAAGAACAAGGCTATAAATATCGCCAATTCTCAGATCTGCGCGGGTGGCGCCAAGGAGGATTCGTGCTCCGGGGATTCGGGTGGACCTCTGATGGCCAGAGACTTGAGAGGTGGCGACGATCGTTGGTACGTCTCAGGGGTAGTGTCCTTCGGGCCAAGGAAGTGCGCGACGAAGGGCGCCCCAGGTGTTTACACGAACGTCGCCCCGTACGTCGCCTGGATCAAAGCGCACATGAAGCCCTGAGCAAAAAGCCCTCAACCCCTGTTCGAAACTTAATGACGTTTAATAAAGCCGCAGAATCTTAAAGGCGCAATTTCACACCATTCATATGCTAATCGTTCCTCTCCTTTCTCGAAATGGGTGCGTGTGCAGAGGGTGTCGAAGGGACACGGATCGAGACATTAAAAGCGTTTTACGATGAAGCCTTCCACCCTTGCAAACCGCCCTTGTTCCTTCTCTTCCTCTTGCAACTGCTAGTTTATAGGTCGCGCTTTTGAGCAATAAAAAATGAATAAATATATGTGAATCGCAAAAGGGCGCATTCACTCCCCCCCCCCTTTACCCAATAATAATGCCGGGGAACATGCGCGCCTTTTGTGCGGTTTTATGTGGACGTAAAACATCGGCAGGAAACGCGATATATAAACGTCTTGACAGGTCGAAACGCTCTCCCTCTGTTTCTGTACACTCCACGTGTCCCGCTTAACGTCGATCGCTGCAAACCGGGGTCTCGTGAATCTCGTAAAACGGATTATAAAAGATTTTAATAATGCCAAAATATTACGACCCGAACCCATTGTGAACCGGTTCACAACCCCATTTCCCAACCGTAAAACTCTCGGTAATCATACCTAATCTATGCAGCTAACAAAACTATAATGTTACATTATATATCGTACGACATTCAAAATAATAACGGTAGATTTTGAGAATCACTTACATTTTGTAATATATAGAATTTGGGGAAATTCTGCTCTTAAATGTTGAGTGAAAGCGCTTTTCCCGATACAATTAAAGCGCAAGCACAAAGGGTGGAGAAGAAGTGAAGTAAAGGGAAAAAAAAAAGAAGAGTGACCTTAGCAACCTGTGATGCGGACATTTTCAGGGGTGCCGCAGTCATAGAAACCGGATGAATTAAATCGAGTCGAGAGGGCGCGCGCGTTTTTTTTTTTGTATCTAGATTAGATTTATTTTGAATTGCGTTAATGAGCGTGGTCTCTGCAGGCAGGCAGCTAAGTTTTAATAATGAAAACCCCTAAACTCGGGAACGCATTTTTCTTAGTCCCTTTTCCCAACCCTTCGGTTTATTAAACCGTGTGCGTGTATGTGCGTGGATCTCAAAGGGATGCGAACCAATCTAAAATTTTCATTTCTGCGCGCTTAATTAACTCGTCGGAGCCCTTCCGCGACAACGGACCTTAATGGCCGAAAAATGATGGTCCGGTCCGGCACGTACATATAAATTATTTCGGATCCAGAGCTCTGACTTCATCGCCCTTCATCCACCAAAAAAAAAATAAAAGCGAAATCAATTTGTCATACAATGCCTGAAAACCCTTTTACCAAAAAAAAAATGTAATATTCAAGGGCTTCATTTATCATCGTTTTTTACCCCCGTCCAACAAAGTGTTACGTAACACGACATCAAAGCTTATACTTTTATACGGATTCACTGTAAAGCGCGTTTTTTTAAATTTAAGTAATTGCAGTTGCTATTAGTTAATAACGCAAAATGTATACATCACTCATATTTAATGAACAATCCTTAGTATTTAAACACAAATAATTGATAAGTTCTTTAGTATACTTTTCATATGTATAAGAAAAGGCAAAAAATTAGACTGAAAATATGCGTTTTTTTAAGTAATTAGACATAATAAATTGTCTTTTTTTTAATCAAATAAGTAATATGTATAGTGTACATATCATATTTAAACACAAATAATTGATAAATTCTTTAGTATAATTTGCATATGTATAAGAAAAGGCAAAAAATTAGACTGAAAATATGCGTTTTTTTAAGTAATAAATTGTCTTTTTTTAATCAAATAAGTAATATGTATAGTGTACATATCATATTTAAACACAAATAATTTATAAGTTCTTTAGTATAATTTTCATATGTATAAGTAAAGGCAAAAAAATAGAGTAAAAATATGCGTTTTTTTTAAATAATTAGACATAATAAATTGTCTTTTTTTTTTAATCAAATAAGTAATATGTATAGTGTACATATTATATTTTTCAGTGTGAACAAAAATAGAGATGAAAATGTAATTAGTAAACGTAATTAAAGTATTATTGAAGAAAAACTATAATTCAAGTAATAATGTCGTTTCTTGTCATGAAATATTCTAATCTTTCAGACTGAAAATATGGGTTTCAATTGATGATTAGGAAATAGTCATAGTAAGTTAACTATCTTCTTTTGTAGTATTTAGAATCAAATATTTAATAAGTATAGTGTACAAACCATATTTTTCAATAAAAACAAAAGTGAGGATGAAAATATAATTAGTAAACGTAATTAAAGTATTATTGAAGAAAAACTATAATTCAAGTAATAATGTCGTTTCTTCTCATGAAATATTCTAATCTTTCAGACTGAAAATATGGGTTTCAATTGATGATTAGGAAATAGTCATAGTAAGTTAACTATCTTCATTTGTAGTATTTAGAATTAAATATTTGATAAGTATAGTGTACAAACCATATTTTTCAGTAAGAACAAAAGTAGGGATGAAAATATAATTACTAAACGTAATTAGAGTATTATTGAAGAAAAACTATAATTCAAGTAATAATGTCGTTTCTTGTCATGAAATATGCGAATGATTTAGTAAATATATATCATATCTTTCAGTCTGAAAAGATGGGTTTCATTTGATGATTAGCAAATAGTCATAGTAAGTTTTTCTTTTGTAGTATTTAGAATCAAATAAGTAATAAGTATAGTGTACAAATCATATTTTTCAGTAAGAATAAAAGTAGGCATGAAAATATAATTAGTAAACGTAATTAGAATATTATTGAAGAAAAACTATAATTCAAGTAATAATGTCGTTTCTTGTCATGAAATATTCTAATCTTTCAGACTGAAAACATGAGTTTCAATTTATGATTTGGAAATAGTCATAGTAAGTTAACTATTTTCTTTTGTAGTATTTATAATCAACTATTTAATAAGTATAGTGTACAAACCATATTTTTCAGTAAGAACAAAAGTAGGGATGAGAATATAATTAGTAAACTAAATTAAAGCATTATTAGAAAAAAAATATAATTAAATTAATAATAAAATTCATTTTGTGTTTTTAATTGAGATATGCAAGTATAATTTATTATACTCATCTTCTAGTAAAGAACTGAGGATATGTGTTTGATTTAGTAAATAGTATTTTGAATCCACTATTTAGTAAATATAGTATACATATCATGTCTTTCAGTATGAACAAAAGTAAGGATGAAAATATAATTAGTAAACGTAATTAAAGTATTATTGAAGAAAAACTATAATTCAAGTAATAATAACTTTTATTTTGTGTTTTTGTCATGTACTTAAGTACTTAATTGAGATATGCATGTATGATTTAGTATACGAATCATATCTTTCAATAAAGAACTGTGAATATGTGTGTTCATTTAGTAAATAGTATTTTGAATCCACTATTTAGTAAATATAGTATACATATTTATATCTTTCAGTATGAACAAAAGTAGGGCTGAAAATATAATTAGTTAGTATTATTTTAGGAGAAAAAAAAAGCTCTACTAAATAATAATTATTGTGGTAACGTTTCAAAAATATGCACAGAAAATTAAATGACGAATTGAATGATGCAACAAGTTGTAAAACTGAATGAAGACTGTAGGAAAAAAAAAACAAGGTCAATTGGTGTATTGAAATGTAAGAATTAATGAAGAAAATTGCGAATTTCATTCGCACGATGAAAATCATTGTGAATAATTAGTGTAGTTAAGAGAATTCTAAATATAAACTAATAATAATGAGACGTGTATCCTCCAATGAAAATCAAGGTCAATTTTGTATTAAAGGAAATTATCGGTTTATCATAATTGTGGTTGTTAATAATTATACAAAGAAATTGATTTTTTCTACGTTTCATTCATAATTTTGTTTGTTAAATATATTTTATTATAAAATATTGGAAATATACAAAATAATTCAAAAAATAGTGAACGTAATTGTTTAATTGATGTTTATTTTAAAATTGATAAAATTAATTGATAAATTAAAAAAAAAGTAATTCTTAGTGTAAAAACATTGAAAATGATTTTTTTTGTAGTATAAGCTAAGTAGTTTCTAGAAAATTTGTTATAAACTAATATAAATACATTATGATATTCAATCAATTTATATTATGGAAATTGAGATTGAAATAATTCATGTTAAATTGTAATTTTTTTTGTAATATCTTTTTTAGAATTTAAGTTTAAAAGTTACAAAATATGTTTATTATTGATGGTAATCTTATGGCTGGGAGTGAAGAAGAAATCGAATGATAATGATAATGTAACATTAAAAAAAACAACTTTGACAGCAGTTTGTTTTTCTATTCAATTAACATACAGCTGACGTTTACGTAAATGTCACTTGTCACTTGTCAATTGAATATTAAATTGTAACAATTAAAACTTGAACTGAATTCACTTCAATTCACAAGTTGGAAATTATGATGATGATTCAACTCTTTTATTGGTTGAATAGATAGAAGTAGTAATAATGTAGATATTTGTAAGTTAAAATAAAACAATTTATATAATTTGGTATCTTTGACGTCAAATGACGTAAATGTCACTTGTCAATGTGACAAGACTCATGTCAATTGAATATTAAATTGTAAGAATTAAAACTTGAACTGAATTGAATTCAGTTCAATTCACATAAAGGAAATTATGATGATGATGATTCAACCTTCTAATCGGTTAAAGAGATATAAATAGTATCAATATACATATTTTTTAACTTAAAAAGAATATATAGTTCTGTTTTGTAAAATGACGTAAATGTCACTTGTCAATGTGATTTGTCACTTGTCAAATGAATATTAAATTGTAACAATTAAAACTTGAACAGAATTGAGTTCATTTCAATTCACATGTATGAAATTATGATGATGATGTGAGGGTTGAAGAAATAGAAGTAGTGATAATGTAAATAAGTTAAAAAATAATATATCTGAAAACTCTAATTAAAATATATTGATAACTTTGACGTAAAT